ATTCACCCCATTAGTGAAAAGCTACGTGCGGTCATTCCGATTGGGCACCACGAGGTGGTGTTAGGTGGCTGAAAGGCACAGCTTGTGATTTGTGTTTTTTCCATATAAATAAAAAAGTGAAACATATGAGCTCGTGTTTCTTTTTCGTGAAATTGTGAATTTTTGATTCGGGACCCCAGGACCCCAGGACCCCAGTCAATAAGAGACATAAATATGAGGACCCCACTAAATCAAGAGGACCCCAAGACCCAGGACCCCAGGACCCCAGAATAACACATGCAATACTTCCGCATGAAAATGGTGTATGAAATTTGCACCGGACAAATGTTGAATTAATTTTTATTTCCTTCACCACACACCTTCATTTCATACAGTAAATAAAAAAAACGTTCAAGCTGTTAGGCAGCATATACAAAATATATTGTTAGGCCTTCTGCGCGGTACATTTCGTACCATAGTTAAGTTAATCATAAAAAATATGTTCAAGCAGGCAGCAAAAAAAAATAAATAAAATAAATAAAAAATAAAAAACCGATACACGGATGTGTAGCCGTGCTGATGATTCCAAAAGGATGAAATCGGTTTGACTGAAAAAACCGGTGCGCGCGTTGGCAAAAGAAGACGATTCGCACCCGTTTTTTTGGATTATTTTAAGGAATTTCGATTTTTGAGTATTGACAACTGCCATTTGATCTGGGGCGATCAAAGGTTCAAATATCCGAATACATGATGAAGCTTGGAATATCTAGTCTTTGTTTCAGTATATCAGACCGATGGATTTAATTGCCAAGTATTGGAAATTGCAATGGGTTTATGGGCAAACAGGATTACAACAACAACAACCTACTGCCCATAAACCCATTGCAATTTCCAATACTTGGCAATTAAATCCATTGGTCAGATATACTGAAACTAAGACTAGATATTCCAAGCTTCATCATGTATTCGGATATTTGAACCTTTGATCGCCCCAGATCAAATGGCAGTTGTCAATACTCAAAAATCTAAATTCCTTAAAATAATCCATGATATAGACGGTCCAATCCACAAAAAAACAAAAAACAAAACGTATTGAATTTAACACCGTTCATTTCTATGCTCTGGTCATCGACAATTGGTGAATGTACTCGTTTCGCGGCATGCTAATTTGAATTTGAAGTATTCTGATGGATCAACTGCTCTACAAGTTACAGCCTGTTTGGGTCATAGTGAAATGACGAAGAATTTAGTTGATTACGGTGCAGATGGATAATAATGGATCATATCCTTTTCAGTTGTTGGTCGAAAACTTTCTCAAATCCCAATGAAACTTTAAGCAACGAATCAAAACTCATTCATTCTTTTGTTCTACGATTCGATTTATTAAATCAAGCAAGTTTTTCCAAGCTTAATGTTGGAAATTTTTTTCCCCTCAATTTATAATAACGTTAAAAGGTTTATATGAATATCATCAAATCCAAAAAAAAAGTCGTCAGCGTTCTTAACAACAATTCTTTAGTTAATTAATTATTATTGCATTTCCATATATCGATAACAATTCAATAAAAACCATCCAAATCTACTTTTTTTCAAATCCATTAAATAAATGTTTTTTTTTCTATTAATTAAATAATATTTTTTCGTGCATATGCTAGCTTAAAACTAGTTCCAACCATCCATCATCTTTGTCATATTCGAGACTAAATTGCATGTGCTTCTTGACCGGGCTCACGTGTTTTCCCTTCGACGTTTGTGTACCGACGTCATTGCACTTTTTTTGTTCCGAATTGACAACTGCTTCTTTCATTTTGTGATATGTGCCGACGCACCTATCGTCCAATCGGCCTCCAATGCCATCGCATTGAACTGCTGCATCAACCAATCGTTTCAATTTTTTTGCCAGCAATATCTCTACTTCGGAATCACTGCTCAATTCGACCACGGGTATTGTTCGGCTTGAGTTGGCCGCCGGAACTGCTTGTGTAAACGGCAATGTCTTCGCTTTGAATGGATGATTGTCAAACAGGTGGGCTCGTTGCAAGTGTTTGATGAGTCTTTTTTCCGACATTTTGCATGAACAAAAGTCACATTTGTAGAGTGGCCGCTCGAGATCGAAAAAATGATCCAGATAAAAATCATGTGGCACATCTGGATGCACTTTGGTGTGATGCCGAGCAATTCGGCGCACGGACAGCTCGGAATAGCATCGCTTGCACTTGTAATACTCCTTCATGGTGGGTTCTGGTGGTGTTGCAGACTGGAATTGTGAGAGAGAAAAAAATTTGACAATGATTATTGTTTTGAAAGAAGAGAGACTCTTGTGTGATGCTGACATTGATTGTAGCGTTTGAAGTTAAAAACAGAGCCAATTCAGAGTGAATTCAATCAAAAGTAACTTTACAGTGTTTTGAAAAGTGACATTTCAACGTCATGATCAAATTACATCTCATGTAGCGGTGGTCACATTGACCACCGAAGCAAACAACACTTTTAACATAAAACGAGGTTTTTCTAATCCAACTTTTCATATTTTTGCAGAAAAAACTTCAATATTTCCTTCAACTTACATAAATCGTGTCAATTTTTTGACATAAATCCCCTTTACTTCGTGCAACAACGACGAGCTTGCCTTTCAGATGCTTCAAACACACTTTTGTTCATCAATTCCTGTTTCGGATCGTGTTACTTCCACTGTCTTTTTGTAGTAAAATCGATGGTGCACCTTTTTGTGGCGGAATTTATCGTTTTTATCTACAATCCATAGCCAATTCTATTGACACAAACAATTTCAATATTCTCACTCACAGTTTATCTCTTTCAACAAACGCAAATTCCGCTGACACTGCGATATCAGCACAAACATCTGATTTGTGTCAAACCAGTGTGACATTTGTGCAAACGGAACGAATTTCGGTTTGTTTTCTACTTGACCAGTCGTTTATATGCACCTCTTTACAAAGTTACACTGTCAGTGTAAATGATTTGCATATGTCGGCGTAAACGCAGTGCACTGTCTCGTTCTTTTTAACAGAAAACAAAGTTGACATTTGTTTATTATGGATTTCATTACACATTCCTTTCTCATTCTGTCATCTATCTATTTCTTAAATTTTATTGACATTTCGGTATCGGATTTTTTGTTAAGAGGGTTTCTCATGAATACTTTTAGTTGATTTGCGGCAATTTTCCGATTGCAATCATTATTTTGATATTGGAAATGGTGGTGAATTATTGGAATTTGTCGAATTACTTGATGTTGACTAATTAATGGACGATCAATGACTTTTCTTTTATAGAAATTTTTCTCCTTTTATAAAATCAATTCGAATTTATGAACACCGGATATTTCTATGGAACAAAAAGTAATGATATTTCAACAGAAATTCGAAATCTAACGAATTTCCGACAAAAACTAATTTTTCGCTTACGACGAAAACGATTTTTTCAGATTTAACACTTTTATGATGGAAATATGTAGACTGAAGATACCAGAAAATGAAAATTTGTGAATAAATTATCGAATCGATAATTTCGATTGGCAAAAAAATTATTCAAAAAAAAGACGCTAAAATGGGCTGTTCAATTTTCAGTCAATTTTGACTCATTGGATTTTTACAGGCTGAAATGATTTTTAATCCGTTATTATTATTATTATTATTGACTCAACATCAAAAAGAAGATGGAAAGAAAAAGAATGAATTCAAAGAATATAGCAAAAAATCGTCCCATCAATTGAACTGAGTGCAGAGAATTGGACACTGAGCACAATAGCATTTGGAAATTGAGCCAACAAAAAAAAAATAGGGCAAACATAGAAATTTTCAACTGAAATGTATTGATTCCTATTTCCATGTGAGACTTTCTGTGATAAATCGAAGTACACGTTCAAAATAAATCGAGAATTAGTAGACATCAAATATTCGATGTTCGATTTTGTCAAATTTTTAGTTGAGAATTTTTTTTTACCGATGTGTTATTTGCAAAATTTCCAGTAAATTGTTTTTTTTTTGAGTTAGATCTACGGCTTTATCATATCAGCTGTGCCATTTATCGAGTCAATTTTTTGGTTTGGCCAGAGTTGACAAGGAGACGAAAAGAGCTGAGCCGAGCAGAAAACATACATAATTCTGATAGATCAAGTGATTGAAAATCAAGAGTCAAGTTTTATCGTGAAAAATAAAAGTTTCATTCGGAAAATAAATAAAAATAGAAAGAAGGAAGGCAGAAGTTCAAAACGCGGTAAACTTTCCAAGGTCGGACAGATTTGGTCAAGTAATGCAAATATCCCGATTGAAATGGGCCAAAATTCTGAAGTGAGCTACATGTCAATCGATGAGCCAAACCAAGAGCACTTATTGAAATGTGAATCAACTGAAAAGTCGTCCGAAGTAAATGTTGCATCAGATGAAGATTTACCACCACTGGACCCGTCGATTAAAACTGAAACACTTTCTATGCTAAAATTGGATATCGATTTTCTATACAAATTATTTGATATGTTGGATATCAGAGATTTAAACTCAGTTGGTGGAACGTGTAAATGGTTGAACCAAACAATCAAATACTATGTAAAATGTCGTCGATTGCCACCATCACTTCTGCATCTAAACGACAAGTGTTTAAATCTTGTATTCGATTGGTTGTCATTGGAAGACTTACATTCACTGGGTCAAACGTGCACCAAACTGCTTAAAATCTCTGGTGATTACTTCAAGCGGAATTACCCGTCGGCGTTGATACTGGACGATATGGATGGCATTCATGTGGGAGAGGTTGGAGTAAATGGTTTTGCGCAATTCATTGAAAAAATTTCGATATTCAAAATGGATTTAGATAAATTGCCGTATGATCCAAACAAGTTCGTGTCTCTAAAACAAATCAACTTGGTTCGCATCAATTTAATCACCACTGCCATCGAGTCGTACAAAGAGATTCTATTGAAAATCGAAATGTTGGACCTGATCGATTGCAACGTCAGCGGTGATTTCGGTAAATTCCTGAAAATGTGTCCAAAATTAAAGCGATTGAGCATACGGAATCGTGAACGAAACGTAATTATTGGCACCGGCAATCAATGGCTACTTCGGCCGCATCCAAAATTAGAATACCTTAAACTGGTCCATAAAGAAGGAGTTAAAATTAATGAGCTCAAAACATTTTTCATTCGAAATCGAAAAGTTCGTAATTTTGCAACGAGCGGAAATTGTTTGTGGGATAACCGAAATGCGATCATTGATGCCAAGCCGAAGTTTGACCAATTGGCCATCGATGTTGACTGGTGGACCAAACGAAACATGAATACATTTTGTAAACTACTGAATGAACTGCATGAGAAAGGTGTTTATAAGCGATTATTTCTGAACACAAAGTATGTTGATCAGAATTCCATCAAGGCCATCGCCTCGTTGCACGCTCTGCAGCGGCTGTATGTGGTAAACTATGAAAGTCGTGACGTTGCACTGCAATCACTGATCAATGTTAAGGAATTAGGCATTTCGGTGAGCTGTCACGTTGCTGATCTACACACACTCCCACAGACACTCAATAAACTGGAACGGATCTACTTCAATCAAGCAACTGCTGATGATATTTTCGTATTCATACGGAACTCAGCACAATTAAAGGAGATCACGGTTGAATGTTTGCCTTATGGCATCCACTTTTATAGAGGAGTCCTGGATCTACCTACGCTGAATGAAGAACGAAAAAAATTAAACACCCAACAAAAGGTGACCGTTTATGTATCGGAAAATATTTACCTAGCAACCAAGTGGGCAATGAACAGCACCGACTTTAAATTCATTGAGATTCGGCGATCCGATGAATGGCCAGATCCATTTTGAATGCAGAAGGTGGAGCTAAAACCATTCGTGTGTTAGTGTTTGAAGGGAGAATAGATTATGTTGGGAGATTTGCACGCTTGCGTCGCCAAAGGCCATTTCACCTATTGAGAATCAGCGTCATTGGCGTCGATACTGAAAATAAAGAGAAATTGAAACATATTCAAGATGGTTTTCTTCACTTTTTTTAAATATCCTCGAATTATTTGCCGGAAACATGATGAAAATTCTCCCTTTTCTGTGAATTTTCGTCTCAAAGTGGTTTCTTGAAGGAAAGAATGAACTCCTTGAAGAAAATAAGGACATTCTTTTGGAGAAAAGAACGAAAATTCTGTGGAAAAATACTTCAATTGCCGATAAAAAGCAGGAAACCCACATTAAAAATTGAAACATCCATCGTTTACCGTTTCTAATATAGCATTTTATTGAATTTTTAAATAGATTGATTTTCCTTCTGTACGTGTTATTTTGTGTTTCTTCTTCTCTCGCTCTTTTTAGATACCTTCCATAGTGCAATAAATGTTACTGGTTACAACTTTTGCCTCTGATTATAATTCCTAAGCACATTATTTTTCTATTCTATGTAGAATCACTTAGTAAATCCGCGCGTCGCGATCTAACCTAATAAATGGTTTTTTTTTTCAATGTGCCATTGCAAAAGGCACGTCAACAAAATCGTTCCGATGATAAAGAAAAAAAAACTCACAATTGAATATTTTTGAAATAGTTTGCGTTTCTCCTATCGATTTTTCCTTTTCTTGTTTAGCAGTTTTTTTTCTATCGACGTTTTTTGGTGGGAGCGTCACCGAGGAAAAAACAAATGCTATCAATTATTATTCACAATTTTATCATTTCCATTATAGCTAAATGGATTATCTTTTTGTTGGGGGCGATGGTTAGTCTTTGTCGATGAAATATTCCCACACCGATTTCGTGACCACTCGATCGTTAACAATCTCAATTATTTGTCCGTTGCATTGAGCAAAGAGTTGACCCGCTTTGGTTGAACCACTCTTTGCCTGATTGATGCCATTCATTTGCGGCCCTGACTTCTTTTGCTCGTTTGTAACATTACGGATGTAGATTTTGTGCGGCGATGAAATATTCAAATACATCATCGCTCCATTAATGAAGGTTATCATCAACATATCGTCTTGGTTGAATATCGAACGAATTCTGAAGATAAAATGGTATTTATCAGTATTAGTTGAATGGAAATGATTAAAATTATGGTTCTAATCATAGACTAAGATTTAACCATAGACCAATTCAGTTGAAAAAAAATTCTGTGATACTCACTTTCCATAACAATTCGGAATGTTGTGTGTTTGAAGTGTTCGCCAATTGTATGGATGGATAGTTTGCACAGCCATCACTTTTAATTGTTCATCGCCATTCTCAGCAGACGCTAATTGAATCAACAACATGTAGTCGGGAACCTGCAATTGAAATGATTTTTTGTTTTTGTTTTTTGAGTCTTTCCATGAAAAATTTCAATACAACTCAGAAAAATTTCTTCAATAGGAGAATTATTTTTCTTTTTTCTTTTAAATTTATCAATTTTTATTTCTTTAATTTTTCTTTCTTGTGAATTTTTCAAAATTTTTATTTCTGATTTTTTTTCTAATTTTTCAAAAATTTTCAACCTTAATTCAACTCTGCTTAAAAAGCTAAAGTTTCAGAGATTTGAAAAAAAAGAATAAACAAGGCGTTTAAAACGGAAATGATTTCAACTAAGAAAATTTAATTCAATTGAACAAAAAAAAAAATTCATGTGAAAAAATGTAATTCTGTTTTTGGAACGTGGATATCAAAATTAAATTGTATCCGGCAATACAGAAAATAAATTGAATTATTATTTTAGGAATTTTTCAACTGAATCAAAACAATTAGAAAAAATACGTTCAAAAAACGGATTAGAGAAGCTTCATTTAAAAAAAAAATTGAACAATTTGAAATCTTCGAATGAAAAATTGGAACATTTTGAACATTTTTCAAATTAACACGTTTTCAGCACCGCAGTGCTGCTAATTATGACAAAAGAAATTGTCCGTGATTGAAAGAAAGGCATATCGCTGCCTTAATAAGCGAAATAATTAAAGAAATTATTTAGAAAGAAATGTCCGAATAAAACATTTGCTTTGTTGAACAATAATACTTACATCATCACCACCACCGACCGTATAGCAAGCAATATTACGTCCAATGGTGGGTAGTTCAATTTCAATGTCAATCAACAGATTACCATTTCGATGGTCCCACATTGATACAGTTCTATCGCCACATCCAACAACATGGTAATCTGCACAATTCACAATAGATCAACATAAGGAAAATTCGAACCGAAAAACAATAACAAACAAGTCATCTGTGGTAACAGAGACTCTACAGAAATAGAATTACAAATGAATGTTTACCATTGATGGCATAAAGAGTGTTGATGTCGTGTTGCAAGTAGGAATAGTCGAAAATGTCGTCGATATTGTCAAGTGATGGTGTTTTAAGTGTGTATTTTACGATGCTACACCTAGTTTGATTGTTAACATTCTGTTCGGTCCATGTCATCAGCACACTTGGTGATGTTCTCAGCGCTGTGTAATAGATCGAATTGGCGTACCTGAACAGTGACGTAGGAGAATGAATATAATTAAAATATGATAAAGGTTTCATAAAAGAAATGTACAAAAGTTTGAACCAAAATACTGCTTCAGCCGTCCGAATCGGATAAAATTTAAAATGTGGAATTTTCCTTTCAATCGCCACTCACCCTTTGATCGTATCTAAATTTACACGTTCCGTTACGATTTCCGGTTGACCGTCGGCGTTTGGCTTGACAAAATACACGTTGACGTAGACAAAGGTCAAGTTGCACTGACGAAATTCATTAGGGCCCGACTCTTTTGCACGCATTTCAACGTAAACAGGAAACTGTTCACCGAGATCGATCAACCGGTTCTGATACAGGGCATCTATTTCTTTGTCTATGTGGGTCGAAAATTAGGAAACAATTGAACAGTTAGAAAAAGTTTGAAAATATTGAGAAACAAAAAATTTCCTCTTCATTTAACTCACCTTCTTGAACGCGTGTTATATCGCCGATTTTCATCCAAGATCGAGCGACTCCAAACATGCCCAATACCTTTGACGTTGAATACCAGTAGCTGATTTGTGATTGTTGAATGACAACAATAACCTCATCGTGATTGGGTGATACTGAATGTGTGAGAATTGCAAGGATGGCACCGTGTTTTGGATCTAATGGATTCTGAAATTGTGATTTATCAATGTGGTTGGCCAGATCCTGTTGCCATTGCAACGAATTCGATGCATCCAATGTGACGGTTGGCTGTGTCATGTCGTTGATATTAGAATTGATCACAATCGCACTGTCGGTGGATGCATTTGAATGTGTGATTGATGTGGGTGAAAATGTGTTAATCAATTCTTCGCAGGTGGTAATAGGTGTATCATCTGTGCTATGTTCACCATTTATTTCGGCTGGTTTCTCTGCATTTTCTTCCTGTGTTGAAGTTTCCTTCGGCTGAAGATTATTCGACGATCGTTTTTTGAATGTTGACTTACGTCTTGCATATCCTTGTCGCATCGCAAACCCTTGTTTGAAACACTGTTTATATCGTTCAAACATTTTGGTTAACATCATTGGGCTGGGCAATACAATGCGTTTCTGTACACGTGCCACCTTCGATGGACCACTTCCGTCACCAAATCGATTCGAATCGGTTGCATTTTCTTTCGTTGCATCACATTCAGTGTCAGTCTCTTTAAGCGATGAATTGTTATTTGATCCACTTGGTTCATTGTTCGGCCTGCTGCCATCACCATCGGATGATGGTGGCTCGTACGAGTGTCGTTGTTTGATGTGGCTTGAGATCGATTTCATTGCTCCATTCGGCGTTTGTTCATCACGTAGTTTACCATTCTCCGGTGTTTGCTGCTTGTGATTATATACATTCGTTGAGTCGCTATTTGAAGTGTACGATTTTACCATGGGCGATCGCATGCCTGCTTTGTCCAGTGATTTATCATCTCTTGGCGATTTTTCATTGGTTGCCCTCGTAAATTTTCCCTGTTTCTGCTGGACGAATACACGCAACGATCGCCGATGATTGTACAATGAATTGGCATCGTTTGGACTGAGTTCCGGCGATGATTTCTCCTGCGATGGATTCGTATCGATGCCTAAATACTTGTAAAATTCCTCTTGATTATGATGGGTAGCTGGTGGTGGTGGTAATGACGATGTTGTTAAAAATGAATCATTTAATCTTGAATGTTTGCTACAATTGGCACAGCCACCGTCACTTATCCGCGATGTATTCGGCGTTGTTGGCGTTTTAAAACTGTTCGAACGAATAGATGTGTCTTTGACATAGCTGACACGAAATTTTATAGCTGAAGGAATCTCACTGGCCGGTCTCGATTCGACAATACGATTATTGACTAGGGGCTGCATCGGTCGAACCACCGGCACTACAATAGCTGACATTCGTTCGACGACAATCGGTTTGGTCGGCGGCTCAACAGTAGGTGTAGCTGCTGGCGCTGGTACTGATGCTACTGGTGGCGGTGGTGGTTGCGACTTTTCTTTAGCTGTTGTTCGATTTTGTGGCTTTTCATTCTTTTTTGGTGTCACTTTGGGTGGAGTTTTTTTCGCTTCTTTTGTGTCTGCTTTCGTTTTTTTCGTTGAATTCGATGGTTTTTCGTCAGTCTTGCGGGATTTGTCCTCTTTTTTTGATTTTCGCGACGACAAAAATACCGGCGCCGGCTTTGTGTACATTCGCTTTTGCAGCTGTACAGGATGGAATGGAAATAAATGGGGAAATATGAGAAAATTGAGCAAAAATTACCGAAAAAAGAGGCAAAAATGATTGAAAAATACTCAAAGTAGCCCGGTTTATACCATTCCAAAGAGGTTTAGAATAGTTTTGACCGAGACATTCAAGGGAAAACTTCGTACTGAAGATTTTTTTTCCATTAATTTGATAAAAAATGATTGATAAATTCGGAAATTGTCTCTTCATTAAGGAGAAATACATTATTTTCCTTCTTCTTCAAACCAAAACCAACTTTTCATCTTCAAATCAACCATTTTCCTTTGAATGCCTCTTGAACTTTCACATTGTACATACTCTTTCCGATCGAATTGGCTTGGAAAAGTATTTCTTATCGTCAAAGTCATCTTCGATTTCGCTGAACTCATCAGCAATATTCCAATAGTCGATGCGTTCCTTGGAGTTCATCGCCTCAAATTCGGCATTGTGTTGAATTAATGCTTCTTCGGTGAGTGGATCACAAATGCTCCTCACTTCGCTATTGTTTTCATTGTTAGACGAACGTGAACTACCACTGCTGTCACTTTCACTACTACTACTGCTGCTCTCAACCGGGATGCGTTCGGATGAATCATGATTCGATGCAGATGAGCTCAAAATGACTGATGACGATGAGCTTTGTATTTTATCGATATCATCATGAATATCGCCTGGCACCGCCATATCTTCGATACTCAAATACTGAAACGGTCTCTTGACACCTTGGTCTATTTCATCATAGGCGTAACAAATTGCACGGTGTTTTTGGAAGCAGAAAAAAAGTGATTAAAAAGAGAATAAAGAGAAAAAATAGGGAAAAAATGGGGAAAAAGAGCAAAAAAGAGCAAAAAAGAGCAAGAAGCCTAAACCGACGCTTTGACCACATGAATCAAAGTCCAATGCTTCGGTCAAAAATTCGTCCGTATCTTTACCTTTAATAGTGAGGGCTCCCAAAGTAGCCGGTCCATTTTGTAGACTTTCGTCCATATTTGACGACTCCTCTTCATACTCTTCATCGCTGTACTCTTCATCGTCATCGTCGTCGTCGTCGTCATTTGAATGTGCTGCAATGACGCGAGAGAAAAAAAAAATGCAATATTAAAAATGCACCTGTCAAAAATGTCCAAAAATGGTCGGTCACACACAGTATACAGACACTTACTCGAATGCAAACGTTTTGCCGACGGTTCGTTGAGCGACGAGGCGCTTCCGTTCAATTTGCCATAATTGTGCCGCTTTTTCAGTGGCACATTCATCGTTGTTGCCGTTTTGTTTTCGTTTTTTCGCCCTTTATTTTTTACTAACACACACTGTTTCGCCTCACACACAATCCACTCACGACGTTTAATTGCAACAAGAAATTTTCGGTGCTTACCCAGACTTGAATATAATTGCGTTTACATTCCGATGGATATTTCATTTAATTCGATTTTTATTTTTCGTCACGTCTATTTCGTCACTTTTCAGTAAGCGATTCAACTAATTTTACACCAAACACAGCATTAAAATTGGCCTGTTTTAATCGGAATTTGCTACTTCGACGGTGTATGTGTGTGCAATCAATTGAAACTGTTTGGCAAAACTGAATTTTTTTTTCCTTCTTCTCAGCTTCTTCTTCTTTTTATTCTTCTTCTTCGTATTCGTTGCCCTGCTTTGACAGCCATTTACTTGTCACTTGAATGTAAGAGAGAATGCGGAGAGAGAGAGAGAATGTGACTGAACGGAGGGCGCCACCAACATATTTTTGGCACATTCTCAAATGGACTACGTGAGAAAAATCATATTTGATTTGTCACTGTGATGTTTTTACACTGTAATTGCGACGGTCGTTGGGATATCATAATTTTTGATGAAATTATGGGTTTGTTTATTGTATGGAACAGTACCAACAATTCTCTTTTTCATTTCAATTGGTAATAATCGATACAATATTCGAAATTTGATGAATAATCAGGAAAATGGTACGAAAAATTGAGATTTGTTCAAAAAATGGCATTTGATACGAACAAAAACTGCAAATTGAACCAAAAGGCTAAAAATTGACAGGAACAGCTGAAAATGGTCAAAATGATGACAAAACGTTTCCAAAAATAAATGATTCGATGTACAAAAACCGCTGAATTCCATAGATTTCATCCATTCAACATTTATTCCATAATTAAATTCCTAACATGTTTCGTTATCAAAAATATGTTTGCTTCAATTCAAAAACTGAAAAATGCTTATACACAAAAAGAAACGAAAAAAAAAAATTATTAAATTGAAAAAAAAATCTGAGAGAAAAAAAAGCGATTGTGTCCATGGACTAGATTGAAACGTATAATGGTTGTTGCTTCACCAGGGGGAGTAGCGGTTAAAGTAATTATTGCCCTCTTAAATGTCTAGTAAAGTATTTTCATCTACGAACAAAATGTTCTTCATCTAAACATTATAACATTGATTTTGTGTGTTGATTATTATTGCTAAAGAGATAAAGCATTGTTTTGTTGGTTTGTTTCTCCATTGAATTTTTTTTTTGGTGTTTGTGTTGGTTTTGGTTGTGGCGTTCGTCATCACTTGAGTGTTCTGATCGTGGTGTCATCACCTTTCATCAGATCAGTTGGTCTTTTGCAGAGAATCGATTTGCATCTCCAGCTCCGCATCGGATAGTTGAATCTCACGCAACGTATTTATGACCATATAACGCGAAAACATGATGTACAACCGACGAAACCACACCATTTGCGAGTAATGTGCATGCATTGCCTTTTGTACACGACGAAAATCCCACCAATTCAATATGCACCAATGATTTGACAGACCAATGCTTAACAATAAATCAAATAGAAACGAATATTTTCGGCACACATTCACCGAGTCCAAGGTGAATAAACGGCAACCTGTGAATGAATGGAATTTGAATTAGAAATTGATAAATGAATAAATTGATAGAAAATGACAATTCAAGTGGCGGTCATAACGTCTTGGACGGACAGCATACTCCATTGTAATAGAAACACAAAAGCATGCTGTCCGGATCATCATGACCGCCACTCAACAAATCAACACATTAATGGAAAACTAGGAGAATTCCAATAGAGAATGCATGAAGAGAATGAGTCGCAATACAGAATGAACGTATCTGGAGATTCTCCAGAGACAAGAACACAGAAGAGTTTTTCCACTTATTTTAGATACTACACTTGCATCTTCTAAATTATACCTTCGTGCAGTAGGTTTGCCACGTAAATCGATATGCTGGAGTAGAATATTGCACAGTGATTGGCATGATGGCTAACACCATCGCGATCGAATGTGATGATTGTGTCGATGTCCAAACTGTGGACTTGTTTCAAAATTTGTTTGGCGATTATTTGCGGTTTCCAGGTCACAGTTGGGTCATCAGGTAACAATGTCGCATTTACTAATGTGATATTTTCATCGGGAATTTGCAGGATTTTACATGCATTCCACAGTTCACGTTGACGCTGATGTCCCAGTTTTCCATGATTTCCTGCAATTTATGAAACGTTTTGTTATTGACAATGTATTTTCAATCGACTTATGAGTAATTTTTGAGTAATTTTCACTTATGAGTAGTTTTAGAGTGGATTTTTTTCACGGAATTTCAATCATTTTTCGTCTTTTAGTTTGAAAAGTCTTTTTTTAATCAAAAACAGTAAATATTTGAAAAATTTATGATTTTTTTTTGATATAAGTGGCCGAACCAATGCTTTGGCTGTCATTTTCAAACAACTTTGAAAGAAAACAAGTTGTGATTTCATTGAAAATGAAAAAAAATTGACGAATTTTCGTACGCTATTCCAGAAAAAAAAAATCGTCCAAAATTTTTCAGTCTCTGCCTGAACAAATCAATTTTTGCCTATGAAAACCAATTCTTACCCATTCAAGCCAACAAATGAGTAACTTTTAACCAAAAATGTTCTATTTTGAATGTATTCTAATTGAATTTACTCCGTTAGAACATCACTTTCATGCTTCTGAATAGTAATTTAGCTATGTCAAATGGCAAAGATTCAAGAATGTGCCCGAATTCAAAGCTTAAGCAAGCAAACAAAACATTTTGAACAAAATATAACGATTACAAACGAAAGGTTCGATTAAAAAGTTGAAAAAAACGCAAATCCATGAAAAATTCCACTACTCAATCCCATAGAAGGAAAAATAAACACACAGTACAAACCATGGGACAAACAGAGCAGATAGACTTGGCAGTCGTTGCGTTTGGTGAGTGACAGAATTGTGGGTCCGAAGAACATGGATTCATCATCCGGATGTGCGATGACAAAGAGCACCCGTTTGCATTGTGGAAATCGTAAATTGGTGGCATTTCGATTCCATTGTGCCGCCCATTTTCGAAATATCAACAAATACACAGCGAGGCAAAAAACTGTGTAGATGCCAATGCAAAACAGTATATGCTCCAGCGCTTCAAATGAATGGCACACGGCCTGATTGTACACTTTAAAAAATGTTTCACTTAAATTCAAACTTTGGCTATGATTTAATACTAATTCCTGATGATGCAATTGTTGTATTGATGGCGGTGGTGGCGGTGACGTGATCGCCTCATTCATTTCCGAAAATCATTTGGTACAAACTATTTTTGCGTTTTGTTTTTGTTATTTTTTTTTTTTTTTTTGGTATCAATCTTAACACTTTTGAACCGTAGCAAGATGAAAATTATGATAATTTTATCGATAAAATAATAAACGAAATCACTTTACAAAACTAAACTGCATGAAATCACTTTGTTGCCACAACAAACGATGCGTTGGTCAATTTTCTATAGCACACATTTGACGGTCGTGCAAATCGCAATATTCCATTCATTTCATCGGATCAATGGGAAAAATACGAGCGCTGAAATGTTTTCAACGTCAAAATCACTAGTCGTTTTATTGGCCACGGTCTTTTTGGACATAAATTCAATCTATTTTTGATTGTTGACAGAAATATTTCGCGGATTTTTTCTCTTCTTTTCTTGTTCGGTCGTCTTTTTCTCCTTCAGCGTGATGCTTGCTGCAATTGTTGTTTTCCTCATTTGGCAATTATTTATAGATTTTGTGTCACTGCGACTGATTTTGACACTTCGATTCTAATGTTTTTGTCACGGCCCTATCGTCGAAATTGCGGTAGCCACTTGAAGTAGATGGGCATTTTTGAGGAATTTCCGAATTTTTCGGTTATAAAAATTTTTTGGAATTGAAATTCACACATTTTTCTTGCTAATTTCTTGTTTTTCGATCAAAAATGGAGAAAAATTTAAAAAAAATACAACGAAAAATGACCAAATCTATCATCGAGCAGAACATTCTTCGCCAATAGGGACGCACGATTCTGCAAAGCTATCAGACAACTGTCGCGCACAATGCGGAGAGTAAAAATGAGAGAGCAGAGACTGAATGAGTGTGTGCATGTATGGGAAATGTCTCTCTTTATCTCTCATTTTTCGCTATCGTGAGTCTAACCTTAAAATATTGCACATATCGGTGTTTCGGTGAAGACGAGTGTCGGCTGCAGTCGAAATATTCCATGATAACAATTCATCGTTCATATTAGTTTAGTTGTTTAAATCGGTGTAACAGACAATAGAATTGCATTAATCGAAAAATGTCACAGTTTGATTCAGTAGTTGTGGAACGCCGGCTAAGGCCCATCTATGGTATGTGCATGCATTCACCGATACAGTCAGAGTCTTTAGTTTTTATTTTGACACACCGTGAACTAAACAAGAATGGAATGAGTTCCAAATTGGGTATTTTCCATACTAAAAATTCCTTTTAAATTCATCTTTCAGACTCGTTTGAAGTGGGCAATAACAAGAAGGCGTTGCATGAAACGGAAAAGGTGCTAAAAAAGACACCAAATTTGCGATGTGCTCGTGCATTGAAAGGGTTAGCATTGATGCGACTGGGCAAGAATGAAGAAAGCAACACGATTATCAACCAAATTGTGGCGGAAAAACCCAGCGACGATGCAACTATGCAAGTTCTCTCATACATCTACAAAGAAATGGAAGAATGTGAGTCCTTCGATTTGCAATGAATCGATTTTATTGATTTTTAAGTATTGATTAATTGATTGTTCCAAAGAATCGATTATATTGTCGTTTTTAATTTTTTTTACCATGAACAAAAAAAAAAACTAAAAATAATTCAATTTTCCAGTTGGCAAAATCTGCGTGATTTATCAGAATGCGGTTGAAAAAGACGGTACCAGTGAGGAGTTGCTAACACAATTATTCATGTCCTATGCACGGGTCAACGAGTTTGCATCGCAGCAACGTGTAGCAATGCAATTATTCAAATTGAAACAAAAGAATCCCTACTATTGCTGGGCAGTCATGAGTTGTTTACTGAAAGCCATTCGTGGCGCCGACAAAAATGATGCAGCCAAACGGAAACTGTCACTCGAATTGGCACAACGAATGATGGAAAAATTAATAAGCGACAATAAACTGGATGCTGAACAAGAGGCTCAACTCTATCTCATCATTTTGGATCAACAGGAAAAATACGCCGAACAATTGAAATTCCTCGATAATCCCACCGGCAAGAAAATTTACCCAGGTGCACCAATCGAAATGCGCATCAAACTCATGCGTAATCTTAAGCAATGGCCTGAATTAAATGTACTGCTGAAGGGACTTTTGAGAGCTGAACAGTAAATTTGCTTATTTGGAATTTTTAAATTAGAAAAAAGAAATGAAATAACAAAAATGATAAACTTTACAGTATCGACCGATGGGACTTCTACCAGGATTATATTCAGACTGTTGTCGAACTGGTGAAGAACAAAACAGAGCCAGGAACTGATAATAAACAAGCAATCGACACATCATTCGAGACTTGCCATGAATTTTTGTGTGAAGTGAGTACTCAACTGATCCGCTTGGAATTGAAACAGCGAATTGATCGACGAACAAACTTTTTAATGAGCTGCATTTTTTATTATTATTATTTATTTATTCGCTGTTTCTATTCTCACCAGTTCAACTTTAGGTTTTGATGTATTCATTTTTCACTCCTTTTTCATATTTCGATTTATTTTCGTATTATGGGTTTTTTCTTTGTTTTCGTTATTTTTTTTTATAAATAAATTAGTAATCTAATTTTTCAATTCAATTTTATTTTTAACAAGTTTTAATGAACTAGGCTTTTTATGTTTGCTCAAAATGAATTTTATTATTTTGATCAGTTGAGCAGCTTAGTTAGTTTTAAATTTCATCTGTTGTTTCTTGCCATTTTTTTTACGGATTTTTCATTTTTGTCATTTCCACAGATTATCTAAATTTTAGCCGATATTTTATTATGTCACAGTTTCTTTTCCAAATAGTAATTGATTCATCATAATAATTCATTTTCAATTATTTTTAATTATTTATTTATTATTTCTGTAATAAATAACCAACTAACTAAATTTTTTTAACATTTAAACATTTTAGAATTTTTTTTAATAATTTTTAATTTTTTTTTCTCCCTCCAGTTGATCGAATCGAGTAACAAGAAAAACCGTGGACCATATTTAGCCCGTTTGGAATTGTGTCGTGTAATGAGCAAAAATCAATTTGATGCCCACAAATTGTTTGGTGAATTCATCGAAATGCTCATCGATTATTTCCGAATTTTTGGCGAAAAACCATGCTGTTCTAAGGACATTGTACTATTTTTGGATGATTTACGAGAAGAACAAAGGCCAGAGCTAGCATCAAAATTGATTCAATTATGTAATATCAGTGCAACAACACTGCCGCAAACGGTAAGAAAGGCCTTTTTAAAAAAATTCCCTTTTTATTTTATTTTTTTCTTCTTATTTTTTCATATTTTTTCTAATTCTAACAAAATTAAGTAATATTTAGATTTTTGGTATACTTTTGTGTAAAAACCTCTGTCCTTCAAATATATTTAAACGCTTTTTTACTACTAATTTTGCTTGATTCTGGTTCCATTTGAAAATATTTCTATTTGCAGAAAGAGCAAATGCAGCGTCACATTTGTTCGTTGCAAGTGTCACGTATGTGTGGTGCACATGCATTAAGTGCTGATCACTTAACGGCATTGTACACAGCGTTCACGTTGCATTATGAGCATGGATTGAATGCATTTGGAATTGATATGTTGCCAACCGATATGGGTCTATCGGATGCATATGCATTGTTAGCTGGTGAGTTAGGTCACTTTCGACTTCGCACTTTACAAACGAAATAACAGAAGAACGATCAAAAACTATATCAAATTCCTCTATTTTGCATTACAGTTCACGTGATGTACGATTTGGCGTTGCAGTTGAAGACATCGGATCATTTGGTGGAGGCGTTATGTTTACTAAATTACTTGTTAAGCAATAGTCCAAACAATTTTCATGCAAAATTGTTGTGTTTGCAACTGTACCATCGGATTGGTTGTTGTTGGGGCGCGCAAAAAATGTACGAAAGTCTAAATTTAAAATTTATCCAATTGGATTCGATGGGTTATTTGCATTGTGCCCGTTTGGCAACATCGGGTATGTTTGCCATGGCACGTGCCGTGTACGAACCAACGCTAAAATTCTTCACCAACAGCTACAAAGAAGGTCACGAGTACATTTCGATGTGTTACAAATACGGTTCATTCTCGAAGCTGCAGGAATTCATGGATTTCCACGACAGTTTAACCTTCAGCTATCACTTTTCACTCACGTCAAGCGATGCTATCATTTCGGAAATCGTTTGCTTGGGTGGTGCAAACACAACGCCCGAACAAAGCTTGAATGCATTCAAATACATGCAAATCGATTCGGACCGTGAGAATGTGCAGTACGCAAAATTGCGTGACAATCGTGATTTGTCGGTCATTGTGCGATGGGATCCAAATCAAAAGGAAACACAGAAACGTATCAACGAACAAAGTTACCAACAAGATTTGGACCTTTTGCGAATTCGCAGCAATTTAATTCGATTGATTGCCATTTGTATTGAAACTGCCACGAAGGAAACATATGGAAAACACTCAAAAAACGATGAAGGCTCGATAGCAAAGAACAAATGTGTTTTACTGGAAACGCAACTGAAAAATTGGACGGATTTATTTAAAGAGATTCGCACAGCTAACCATTCAATTACGTCAAATGAATATCTAGTCAATTTATTGCCATCACGATTGCATGGCCAACTTGATATGCCTTACGAAAGCATCTTCTACAGCTTAGCCAAATTGATTTTGTCACTGGAATTACGGCTCGTTGAACCAATCGATGACATTTTCCGGGTGTTCAATCAACAACTCATTAATGCCTGCAAAACCATTTGCAATGAAATTGAAAGTTACAATGCCAACGACGATCGACTGTGGAATCGACGCATCGTTCAGGAAATTATCGCCAATAGTATTGAGGTGAGTGTGAAGGACGAGTCGTTTTAAGCTAGGACGACGTGTTTTTTTTATGGGCTGAAGAGAAACATTTTTCATCTTATTTTTCCACAGATTTTCGCTTTGGTGACCTTAGTAATGTCGGTCGTCCACGAAAAATACCTAGCATCATCAAGTCGACAAGTGAAGCGTAACAAGAAGAAAGCGTCAGTTGAAGAATCGACTGGAAATAACATTTATACACCAAATGATAAAGAGCGAGTGAACATCATCACATCGCTTATCAACCGGCTAAAGACCGAGCTCAACACCATCGATGCAGCCATTGGTAGGCTTTAATTGGAATTATTTCATTATTTATTTTATTTTATTGGTTTTGATGCGAATAAATCAATTTTTTCCTGTAAATTTTTTAAATCAATTACAAAAAAATTAAGTTATTTCTCCACAAAATTGTCGATTTTATCACATTTCAATCAAATCGAACTAAGTTTGAACTTTCGCTACCATAAAGATCGAATATACTCGATTTCTACTCCAAAAGAATGCAAAAACTGAATCAATCTTCTCAATAACCGAATCACTTCTTCTCTTTTTTAGAATCATGGAAGGCTCCACGTTTGCCGCAAACCCTAACCGAAACATTGGCCTCTCTGTCACTGAATCCAAAAGTGGAAACTCTGGTCGACAGCACTATAACCAAAAACCACGAGATCACCGTCGACGAAATTCGAACCATTGTAAAAGACAAATTGCGTTGCCTCAACTCACTGAGCAAAGTGAACGTATGAGATTGACCACACTACCAAATTGTATATATAAAATTCGTCTTCTTCGCATAATGTTTTTTTTTCCTCTCCATCATTTCATTTTATTATAATATAGTGAAAAAAAAGAGCAACAAAAATACAATTGAAAAGAAAAAACAAACGGTCAATTTTCCGGCTGTTAACACCAAAATCCCATTGATATGTGTTCCCAATGTGTTTTTTTTTGGTTACGAACCATTTTATTTAGATAAGTTACAAACACTTTTTTTCATGAATCCAAATTTAAAAAAAAAAAGAGATATTTTCAAAAACCAAAGCGAATTCGTGTTTAACTCGATGATTTTTTATCTTTAAATGGAGAAGTTTTCGATTCTTATGATAATTCTTTGAAGACTGCACCGGCGATGACAAGACGTTGAATTTCGGAGGTTCCTTCGTAGATTTCGGTGATACGTGCATCTCGGTAATGGCGTTCGGCTGGCATATCGCTGACATAGCCCATTCCGCCCAGTACTTGGATGGCTTGATGTGAGCAGAATGTGGCGGCTTCAGATGCAGCTAATTTTGCCATTGCCGCTTCTTTTGTGTAGCTCTGGCCTTGATCCTTGAGCCAAGCTGCTCGCCAAGTCAACAGTCGTGACGTTTCGATCCGAAGTGACATGTCGGCGATTTTTGATTGAATACTTTGAAGTTTTGCAATTGGTTTACCGAATGCCGTTCGCTTCGTAGCATAATCAACGGCACACTCGAGTGACGCCTGTGCAATACCAAGTGCTTGACTCGCAATGCCAATTCGACCGGCGTCCAATGTTTTCATTGCAATTTTAAATCCATAGCCCGTTTCACCGATAATGTTCTCTTTCGGTATTTCACAGTCTTCGAAAATGAGGTAGCACGTTGACGAACCACGTATACCAAGTTTGTCTTCTTTTTTACCCAACGAAAATCCCGGCAAATCTTTTGGTACAATAAACGCTGAAATACCCTTGTGTTTTAACTCTTTGTTTGTTGTTGCAAAAACGACGGCCGCTTCAGCTTCGTATCCATTTGTGATCCAGGCTTTAGTTCCATTTAGAACGTATTTATCACCTTTTAGAACGGCTGTCGTCGATGCGGCACCAGCATCCGAACCATTGCCCGGTTCAGACAAGGCGAAACAACCGACTCGTTCGCCCAATGTAAATGGTTGCACAAAATCTTGCTTCTGTTTATCATTGCCCCATTGTAAAAGTGGTCCCAAGTACAATGAGTTATTCACCGACATAATTACACCAGCCGAGGCACAACCCCGGGAGATTTCCTCCATTGCAATTGCATATGCCAAGTAATCGAGACCAGTTCCACCTGTGAAAAGTGACATATTGGGAGTGGTTTATTGAATTTGAACAATTAAATTCGAGAGATTTAAATAAAATGTTGTGTTACCATTTTCTTCCGGCACAACAAGACCCATCAATCCTAATTCGCCCATTTTCTCGATCTGTTCCTTCGGATACAGGTGTTCACGGTCGATTTTAGCGGCGATTGGCTTCAATTCATTATCGGCAAAATCGCGACACGTCTTCTGTAGCATTTGATGTGTTTCAGATAATGCCGACAAACTGGCAATGTGTCGACGAACACCAAGTAATCCATATCGACTGCAAGCTATTTTAGTATCAATGCGGTAACAACAAATTTACATTATTTTCATGCATTTTTATTGATCAACGGGGAAAAAGGTATGAAATTTTAGAAGGTAGTCATAATTATCAAGTTCATAGATTGGATCAAGTCATATCAATCAAGAAAAAAAAGGTCATTGAATCCAAAGTCCAAAGTTTACACCGACGAAAGTAAACATTACCCACTTTCACTATTCTCTTTTCGATACTGAAGCAATTCAGCAATGTGTTTACTTACCAAATTTTATTGTATTCCGTAACATGTTGATGACTTAAATTATAAAAATAGCTTTTAAAAAAATATATAAAACTTAAATTTCTTAGCTCCAATTGAGTTGATTTGATGCAAAGTGAAATGTTTACAAACGCCAAGTGTCAAAGTAGTATTTACATCTCGGATTTGACAGCTCTCAGTATACCAGTTTGCCTGAATGTAGACTGACCTTATGGGAGATTTGAATTTGGTCGGTATAACATTGGTTATGCGTTAATGCTTTTGCTTTGCTTTGCTTTGTTTCGATAAATGGATTTGGCTGTCTCTTTTTGAACAATCTGTTTGCTTCGATGAAATGGCATAAAGATAAAGAGGAGAAAATAAATAAAACTTTGTATTTTCATTCATTGGATTATAGCGCATTTATGTGGAGGAATAATGTAATTTTTGTTTGCTCCAGAATGTGGTATTTTATTTGTTCAAGCAACAATATCAATCCTAACTAATGTTTTTTTTTCGGCTCATAATTTTTGTTGTTCATATTGAAGTTTCATTTCTCATTCTGATGGTTCGGTCAAGTGGAGTTGATGTCTAAATCAATTTATACGTTCTAAATCAACTAGAGAGTTCCTACACTAGTTCAGTTTTTTTCACTTCAAATCAGTTGGATTATTATTGCCATAATACAGGATTGCAATTGAATTCGCGTTGTAAGTTCAAAAATTGATATGAATTTGACAAGCAGTAAAAAGACATTTTCGAAATGTTGAAAAAAAATAATGATGAACAATTCAGCTGTTTGAGTAATTAATGAATGAGCTGATGAATTAAATGTTTGAACATATGGTCAATTCTACGGCGTACAAGTAACGTTACCAGTGCACTGCATTTGCTCATAACTCCACTAGCATAGAAAATATCAAAAAACTATCAAAGCATAAAAAGTAGCTCTAGATGTGTTTTATTATTCGCAAATAGAAAAATAGTGAATTTCTTTGATTTATGTAGAAATATGAGCGTTCAAGTTGAGAGATAACAAAAAAATGTATGAAAACGTACGAATTTTGAACCACTCAACTAATTTGCCCATATCTCCAAACAAATAAAAAAAACTCACGAGTTTATTATTTGCGAATGATCGTACTCATGTTCAGCTACATTTTATACCTCGACAGTTTTTTTATATCTTTCATAATAGCGAAGATTTAAACATATACAGTCCACTGGTAACGTTACAGGTCCGTAGAATTGACCATATGCATGTTGAAAATGCCCTTTCATACAACATAATCCAATCTCGGTGCATATAAACATAAAGTCAAATGTCTAGACTTTTGAGTTCAAGAATATTTATCTATTCGAATCAATGGGGATGGTTTGTCATTTCGATCAACGGAGTGTTTTTTTTTTTTGTTGAAATGTGAAACCAATTGGGTGAAACTCGTTCTATTGAAACTGCATGAATTTCATAAACTAAGTTTTTAAACGACCGTATTCAAGTAGAGTAGACCTATAATTTCAAAACGGATTTTCTTCAGCTTAATAATTTGGGAAAGGTTCTCTTTCAATTCGAGTAAATTCCATCGTATCGAAATGCATAAACCTTTTCAGTCACCAGTTCAAAAACGACCTTGAACAAGTAGCGTAGCTTGACTATTATTTACGCATTTTTAGAGCCTCATTTTTGGTTGGGTCGTCTGCGATGGGTTTCAACTCCACCCAATACTTAAATAACTTAATTTCAATAATATATCTGCATTACAGACTCTGCTCTGATGGGATTGACCTGAGTTGGGTAAATTGATGTGTTTTAATGTGCACTGAACGTGCATTTCGACCGTATATAAACCGGGCTGGATTGGGTTCATGTTCAGTTATTGTTAAGATAGCTGTTTGTATCAGTTGAAAGTCTGAATTGTCTATCCTTGAAGAATTGATCTATTTTCATTTTCAATTCATCCTTTAAAAAGAAGTTCTGGGTTTTCACTTTTATTTCAAATCGAAAAGTTTCAAAAAAAAATCTCAATTTTTCCGAAATCGCCGCAAAAATGAATCGTGAAGCTGGAAATAGTCGCGAAGTTCCGCCAAATCTAAAAATGTTCAAAGTGCTGAAGCATAACCAAACCTTAATGGCATGGCTTGGCATTCATTCGTATCGTTTAACCGAAACGAGCAAAAATGAGTTTTTTGAGTCGATTTGCACGTACTATATCATGTTCACCATCGTTTCGATTTTCATCGTTTCGAGTGGATATACGGCGATTTTTTCACCTGAATTCCAAACCGTGATTCAAGCAACGCTTTTAGTAGTGGCTGGCACTCAAAGTGGTGGCATGTTTTTTAGTATTGGGCTTCAGATGAAGAGAATCAAAATTTTACAGCTTAAATTACAAGAAATCACTGATGCAGGTAAGAAATGTGTCGGTTTAATCTAACCAGTGAAATTTTCTGCTATAAGTTTGATTAGTTCAAAATTGAAGTCGAAAAAAAGGAAAGATGTGTCTCATGAAAATTGAAAAAATATCTTTATAACGCTCGAAAATGTATTGGAACGTAATTTCGTTAAGAAAACCAAATTTTTTTTCTTTTTGTAGGCCGAGGCATAGTGTACGACATTTACTGGAAAAATGAGAAAAAATGTCGCAAATACACGAAAATCATTGCGTTCTATGTGTTCTTCAACCAAGCCGCCTACTTGATGGTCTTGATCTCGCCAATTTACGGCATTGCAACTGGAAATGTCAATCCATCAGCTTGGAAGTTGATGTATGACCTCATTCTTCCCTTTGACAAAACTGAGCTTTGGGGCTGGTGTGTACATTATTTCGCTCAATTCAACGTTGGACTCACCTATTCACTCATTCTTGTATCGATTACCTCATATTTTGTGTGCTGTTGCTTTTACGTTGACTCAACTTGTGAACATTTTGATTCGTTGGTCAATTCAATTCGCAATACGATTCAATTGAACGATGACAATGAGGATGGCGAAGTGAAAGACTCAACCAATTGGTGGCGAGTTAAACAGCAACTTAGTGAAGCGATCAATCTTCATGTTGATATTTTTGAGTGAGTTAAGTTTTATTGTTCTTTTAGTCTCAAGTCTTTGTTTCATGTCCAGTTCTCGAAACCAATACGGTTTCGAAGAAGATTTCTGTTTTTTTCTACATCAATTCGATGTCATTGAATGAAAATAATAACCTAACTTCATTTCATTTTAATGACGTTCTTATCACATTTCCCCATCAGAATCTTCGATATGTTAGTTGATATCAATAGCGGCGTTATTTTTTGGCTTCTCCCATTGGACGGCCTGTTTATGGCGATTTCAATGTATAATTTAGAGCATGTAAGTTGAAGCGTGCTTGATTTATCTTCAGAAAATGATTTACAATTGCTATTCTATTCAACTTTAGTCTGCATCAAATCTAGCCGATTGGGGTATTGTCGGCTATGGCATCATTTGCATAATTTGTGCTTCAGCTTGGCCTTTTTTGTTTTGCTATTTTGCCACTTTGGCAACTGCACGAATTGTGACCGTTGGACAAACAGCATTCGATTTGAATTGGTACTTCTATCCTCCGGAGCTCCAGAAATACTTGATTCTAATCATCGCTCGTTCGCAAAAACCGGTTTATTTCACTGGACTCGGCATTGTTCATTGCACCTTGGAGACATTGGCCAAAGTAAGATAGAATTGATAGAAGATGTTTTTATTCAGATTTTCGACATTTGAGCTTGGCTAAATCTGAATATGTACCAGAATACAAATCAGAATCTGATTGCGTAACTTTATTCCGTGAATTAAAAAGAAAATCATTTTTTTAGGTCTTCAACACATCCTGTTCTTACTACATTGTATTTCGACGCATTGCGCATCATTAAGTTATTGGTGTCTATGAACTTGAACATACTGCGAATTAATTTTCAGTTTGAATAATAACTAATTCTTAAATATATATTAAATGAATAATTAAACTTCAGAGCTTTAAAAGCCCAAATGAAGTAAAAATTTAATTTTGAGCACGTATCTAAAAATAAAAGCTATGCAGCTTGGTAACACGTGTTATGTTGTCTTTGTGTCATACTTATGTGAATTTGAAAATTGAACAATAAACTGATATTGCCTATTCTATATGAAATAAAGCATGGCACGTCTTTCACTCGGTATACTGTTTCAGATAAATATTTGACACATTTTTCGGAATGTATCTTTCATCTGAGTATTATCTATTGATAAGTGTTGTCTCTTTGGACGACCGCAATAAAAAGAATCGCTCTGCTTCGTTCGCAATGAGGCGATAATATATGTGAATGAAAAATCCTCTCTGATTTGCTTCTATTCCGAATTTATTGTCAGCAATGGTTTTACACTTGTTTTTTGAATAGATTCATGTGATTTTTTTTAGATGACTCTCCCTTACTAATAATCGACCAAACGGTTCATAATTACGAAAATCAGATTCTGACCTTTGAATTGTTTATGATTACGATAATGCACTTAAAATCGGTAGCTTCAGGGTTGCGTCACGCAACTTGCGCTCTAATTTGAAAAATTATTTATCCATAAAGCAAAACCATGTTTAGATTTGAGATAATTTAATTCTGTGCAATGTGTAGATTAATTTAATTCCATGAAATTTTTTGAAATAACAATCAATAAAAATGATTCATAACATCTGTTATTGTCATATCAAACCCGATCTATTTCCCATAATTTGATGAACCGTATGATTTTTTTCAGACGGATTTCTCAACGCTAAGTCATTTTGTTAATTTAATGTCAATCAGAATCACACTCAATGTTACACAAAACCTAATAAAAATCAAGAAATCTACTTATTAACTATAATCAAACGCACGATTTGTGTAACATGTTGTCTACATTGGATTCAACAAATCATTTTAGGGGCCATAGCATATTACACTATAACATTGTCACACAAATCGTATGTGTTAATTTCATGTCACGTAATAAATGGCCATTAAAATGGCTATAAAATCTTCATAATTATCGTTTTACTGCAAACGAAACGGCATAGGTACCATCGATGGTAAATACGTACATTGTTTGCACACACCAATTTGAAGTTTCAAGTAATTGTTACACTCACTGTTCAGTCTTAAATTGCGTGCATTACCATCCAATTGTCCGTAAATAAAGAGTGTTAAGGTACTTGATTTGAAAATGGTTGGAATTTTGAACATATTTAGTCTGTAAAAAATCGTTAAATTCTCAAACTTCATGACAAACAATGTTGGTGATGTACAAATCATTAATTGTAGGGATTCACCTATATTTCCAAGAATACATAGCGTGTAGTGTATTCAATTAATTTATAGATTTCCGTACGGATCGTCTCGAAATGTAATTAAATACGTCTGTGAAGAGATATCAATCTTCATAAAAAAACTATTTAAAAACGCGTGTGCTTTTACCACATCAGTCGAACATTATTCTCTTGGCGATCAGTTCATTTTTGGAAAACAATGGATTCTTTAATCGCCATCGGAGGAAAACTTCAATCTGAAGTTGAAAATAAGAACAAAAATGAAGTAGTTGCAAAATCAAAAATATTCGTGCTCAAGTACAATCATATTCTCCTGAATTGGCTGGGTATTTATTCAGATCGACTGAATGAACCGACCAATGAATTCTTTAAACAACGTCCCACTTATTACATTCTATTCAACCTGGTGGTAATTTTGCCTGCAAGTTTTATGGCAGCTGTGAAAAACGTCACAGAAACGAAAACTATGATGAACGCATGTTATGCGTTTGTAACTGGAGTTCAAATCGGTGGCATGTTTGTTGGCACTGGCATTGAGATGAAAAAAATCAAAGAGTTGCATCTTAAATTGCAAGGAATCGTTGATGAAGGTAAAATTTTAAATGAAAATCCATCTGTTTTTTTTTCACTTGTAAATATTCCAAATATTTCGATTGGAATCAAATTTTCCACAGTTGAAGGTGACGTACACGAAATATATCGAAAGACTGAGGAAAAGTGTCGAAAACATACGATTACAATCGCGAGTTATTTCATTTGTAATCTAGCAATCTTTGTGTCACATTTGATACGTCCAATTTACTGCATTTTAAATGGAAATTTCGATACAACAGCATGGAAATTGCCATTTGAAATGGTGTTTTGGTTTGATCACACGAAGGTTTCGGGCTGGTTTACGGCATGGTTTCTACAGTTGAACATGGGAATTACGTATAGCTCGTCAATGATTTCGATTACCTCATATTTTATCGGCTGTTGCCTTTATATCCAAGCTATTTGTGAGCATTTTAACTACTTGATAAATTCGATTGAAAAGAATTTCAGACCGAGCAACGACAAGAAAAATCATGAGAAATTTCAAATCGTTGAGATAGAATTGAAAGAGGCAATTGAACTGCATAATACAATCATTGAGTGAGTAGAATTTTGATATTTGTATACGAGTGAAATGGGATTTGAATTACTTGAGAATTTAAACTCGCAAGATTGAACAGATCTATGCTAGATTAGTGTCATACAGTTAGTACTAAAGCATTTAATGCCCTCCTTAACGCAAGTACCATTTGTTCGGTGCAGTTTTAGACCATCGTGACTTTAGCATATGTGTTCAACATATTATGTTCGTTGACAGCTGGAGTGATAGAGTCACTTTGTTCGTTTACATGTTTGCACCGAACAGATGGTGCTCGCGTTAGGAAAGGCAATGCATATTTGTGGTAGGTAGGGCCATAATTGCCGTAGCCCTAACTATATGATGCCAATGAACAATTTTCCAGAACCTTTAAATACCTCTCGACTATGAACAGTAGAGCCATATTTGCACTACTTCCACTAACTGTTGCTCTAACGGCCCTTTCAACGTTCAATTTGGAGCAAGTAAGTTCAATATTACTTTGTTTTATTCAAATTCTCTTAAACTCATTTATTTCCCCTGTCAATTTTCATATATCCATTCCAGTCAATATTATCATCGGACTCTTGGAATGTCGTTCTCTACAATATTATTTGCATAGGCAGTTTCTGGATTTGGCCGGTTCTTTTTTGCTTATCGGCCACATTGGCAACTGAACGCATGTTTGCCATTGGTGAGACTATATTCGATTCAAATTGGTACGAGTATCCACCGAAACTACAGAAATACCTCATCCTGATTATCACTCGTTCACAACAACCAGCCTATTTTCATGGAATGAAATTGATATATTGCACATTGGAAGCATTAACTGTGGTGAGTTAAGTTCAATGCATTTTTATTCGCAAGGATTAGAATAGAATTGTAAAAGTTCTCTTTTAAATGTTCTTTCTTCTAACATTAAAATTTCATTTTCAAATTAATTCAAAAACTAAAAAGAAAAATCTAATTTTTTCATTACAGCTCATGAAAAGCAGCTGTTCCTATTACATCCTTTTCAGAACAATTTCACAATACTAACATTTTCAATCAAATAAAATGAAAAATACACACTCAATCACTCAATGTTGAAATTTAGAATTTATTTTGATGTTTAGGCATAAATCATTGGAATTGTTCTTCTCTTCACTAAATGTATCACGATTCAAGTTCTGTGTCAAATAAAAATGAAATTGGCAGTTTAGGCCGAAAAATGTTTTTTTTTTTCTGTAAAAACTTCGCAACAAGATCTAATGATTCCGAATAAGTGATAGTTGTTTGGACATTTGATTGGTTTGATCGATCAATTATTCGATGATTCCTTGCTATGAACACGACCAACGTGTGCCTTAAGGTTCGATTTCTGTGAAAATTTGCTCCAGCACAGCTCGCACTGGAACGGCTTCATACCTGAATGAATACGCATATGGTGTTCTAAATTCGTTTTCTTTGAATCAAAAAACCTTTTGCACAAGTGACATTCATAGCAGCGTTGATTGCAGTTTCTTTCGTGAACTTTGCATTGGGTTTGCTTCGAGAAACCTTGGTGACAAATTGAACATTTGAATGGAAGCTTCTTTGTATGAGATCTCATGTGCTTGCGGAGACCACCTTCCTGTTTGAATTGCTTCGAACAATGTTGACATTCGAATGGCGTTTCACCAGAGTGGGTGCGCATGTGATCCATTAAATAGAATTTTAGCAAACCAAATAACTTGTCACAAACATAGCATTCCCATACACGGCGATTACACTTCCCCTCGTGTGCACTTTTTTCGTCTTGTTGCGAGAATCCTTGGCGACATCTCGAACAGCGAAATGGACGTGGGCCAGCATGAAGTTTCAAATGTCTGTTAAGACTGCTCTTTTCTGCAAATTGCTTGAAACATTCTTCACATTCGAATGGTTTTTCACCGCTGTGCACACGAATGTGTTTCATCATGTTTGCATTGTTTGATCCAAATGATTCCTTGCACAAGTGGCATTCATAGCGACGCGCCTTGCAATTCATTTCGTGTGCCACCTTTTCGTTCTTTTCGTCGAATCCTTTCAAACAGCCTGGACAATGGAACAGAAACTCTTCGACGTGCACTTTCATGTGGACACGGAGATTGTTTTTCTGTGCGAATCGTTTCAGGCAGAAATCGCATCCGAATGGCTTCTCGCCAGTGTGTTTCAACGAATGCAGATTCAAATGGCTCTTCCACAAAGTGGAATATTCACAAAAAACGCATTTATGTGGCTTTGATGAATTTTCGTTGGCGTCGCCGCCTTGTTTCTGTGCGTTCTGTGTATTTTTGTCATTTTCTGGCATCATTCCATCATACATTGGCACCTGCTGATTTCCTACCACTCCTCCTCCAGAAGCAACGTTGGTGTTCGATTCTTCTTCTTTCTTGTTGTCACATTCTGTCTTTATATCGGTCTTATCCTCCTCCAAGCTCAAGTAATCAAAGTCGTATTCATCGCCACACCCGCTGGAACCAGGAACTTGTCTTACATTGCGATAAGTCGATGCCGAAATCTCGAACAAATCACAGGTAGACACTGGCTCTTGCTTGATGTCGACTTCTTGTTTGATTTGCAATGAATGAGACGATTGAATGTTGCTTTGAATCATCGCCATATTTAGGGCATTCGGTTTCGGTGGGATCGCAGAGTTATTGCTATCGTTAGCTGCGACTGTCAAAAGTCTAAGAATCAATGAAAGTAATTTAATATTTTAATCAAAGTGAAAAAAAAAACATTTTCGAGGTTAGGTATGTTCGTACAGAAGAATCACTTTGCAATAAATGCTCTTTCCAATATTGATAACATGTGCCTATTGAGCTCCTATCTCCAATTCTTTTTCTAATAAACTTTAACATATAAAATGGGCAAGTTGTGATTTGTATGAACGATCGATAAATTTCAAATAAAACTTTTCATTATTTGGATCAAAGTTGGCATTCCATTGGGCCGTCAAAATGTACTTACTTACTTTTCATCCTCACTTTGTTCGACCGATTCGATGATTCGAATAGACTTTTGTTTGATTTTCACACTCTGACTCGGTTTTTTTGTCTGAATTTAAAGAAAGTTACGAAATGTCCAAAATAAATATCGAATCGAAATACTTTTCGTTGGCTTGTGAATCAAAAATATTAGTTGTGTTAGTATCGATGTTCTAAGACGTCTTTTCGCTTCAAATGTCACCAAAGAAAAGAATGTGCTATTGTATGCTCAGACTCACGCCATCAGCGACGAAGTATGTATATACTCTTTGCAACTGTGTGAGTGGACATTGATGCGTGAATTGCATGAGCACCTCTCGTGTTTGCGTTCACTTTTTGTGTGTATTGTCGGCCGAATTGAGTGTACATCAAACAGAGTTTTTATTCGATTAGATGTGAAATGTACTTATATGGATAAGTTGAAGATTTAAAAAAGAAATGTCGCAATTTTCCATTCGTTGCTTATGTATTCTGGGTTGGTACGTAAGAAACTCGACCATGTAAATTACATCAAAGTTACGTATATTACATCATGTAATTTACCTATGAAAAATCATGTAAGTTACATGAATTTGTAAGAAACCTGTAAGAAACTCTGAAGAATGATTTTTTCATAAAGAATGCATGCAAAGAACAAAAGAGTTTCAATTGGAAATGAAGAAAATTTGTATTCTATTTTAGTTTTGTTCTTTCGTTATGTAAAAAATTAATTCTGATGATGAACAAAAAGTGAATTAAATTTTCTTCATGTAATTATTTCATTATGTAATCAACGTTTTCAATCGTCTTCTATCAACTATTTATGGAAATATTTGCATAGTGATTCGGTAATTCTGCATTTCCATATAAATATATTTCCAAAAATAGTTGAAACTTTTCATTAAACATTTATTATAACATTATTTAAATCAAATATAAAAGCATGCAAAAATTCATTTGGCTACACACTGTTATCAAGTATCACTGCGAAAAAACACACTCTTTATGAAAAAATAGCTGGTGGTTTCAAACTTTTCCATGAATAATATATTTATTAATTATTTATCAGCTAACGCTGTAGAACGAGCATGTATGTACTCTGTATACTTTGAATGCTTAAAACAAACGAGAATAGTCGGTTTTTGTCAATAACCCTGCACTTTTTGGAGCGTTTTGGAGTTTATAACATGCGTTGAGGTTTCTTACGTAATAAACGTAAGATACATGTTTCTTACGTAAATTACTTACACGTCGCTCGAAATACGAAAATTTACCAACCCAGCTATGTATTGAATTTCTTCTAAGTCAACAAAATAAGATATTAGGACATTTTCAAATACCAACCAACACACAATGTTCCACATGTGAAAAATTTCAATTCGTAGTCATTTGCGGCCAACGATATTGTTAACTTCACAAATGAGTACACACAAGCCAATCCCCGTACATTATTTTAATCATCGCTCGATCACAGAAACGATGCTACTTTACTGGACTCAATTTAGTCGGCTGCACATTGGAAACATTCTTGAAGGTAAACCAATGCACTGAACGAAAATCAAAATTCATAGCAATGAACTGGAAGCTAATAATAACCCTTTTCGAAGCATTTCACAACGCTAAATTGGAATTTGATGGAAGTAGACACAATGAAAGTATGAATATCAGGGATTCTAACTATGTGGAGGCGTACGATTAAAGAGAGAAGATACCACCTCCACGGAATTACAGTCCACGATAAATATCAAATAAAATTGTTACGAGAATTTCAATCTGAACTTAAAAATTAATATTTTCATGACCCACAACCCTTCAGACACTTGATTCTTCCCACGCCAATGTTTCATTAACGTTTACTATCGTTTCAAAATTAATTTTGTTGTTTGTATGTGTCTCACTGAAAAAATTACATCAGAAATCTCTTCATTTTATTTCAATATATAATAATCGACATTCGAAGGAAACAAAAGAAATTTTCAACCGAAACACGATTGAAATGTATTTTTTCATTAATGAATCATGATTTTGTGGGAATTTCAACGATTTCAACTTTGTTGTTATCAAAAATCTCTTTGTTTTTTTCTTTCTATTTCTTCTGATTTTGCAATTGTTCATGTAAGCGTTAACTGGGCTGACGTACGGAATATTTACAAAATTCTTTTCCAATCACAACATTTCTGAATTCGTTATCAGTTTGGTGCCTATTTTTGGATCTCGACTGAGGCACATATTCGATAAGAAATATTTCCGATAATGTAGCAATAGTTGTTTTTTAGCCCTTTCCTAGGTATGAACGAAATTTTCGAAAGAATAAAATCGAAATTGTTCATTGTTCAATCGTTTTTTATTCTCAAAATAACACAAAACATTTAAAATAAAGTAAACTTCGTAAATTCAATTTCGATTTTCCTCAGCAACTTTTTTTCGTTATGTCAAATGATTATGAAAAAAGATGATATAAAGACGATAAAAATAAGCAAAATCCCACGTTCTAATTAGTTTCGATACAAAAAGCGAGTGGAGTTATCTGTGAACATGTGGCCATTGAAAGCTCTGTTAATTGGGTTCGTTGTACAGGCTTTAGGTATGCAAATAATGTCAAAACAGGTAAATTTGGACTCATGAACGGCGGTTCAAGTTTTGTTCATTTCCAAGTTTTATTGTCTACTACAATAAGTCGACGTTGTTTTACAGTTTTTGCTTTGGATCAAGTATTCAGTTCAGGATTTTCAATTGGAAATGCAGTAAAAATCAGTATTGCAATAAACTTGTTTTTTTTTGCCTTGATTTTTGTCAGTTTCAATCATTTCTCTACTAATCAGTTTTGCTGTGGCAATTTTTCATCAAATAACCAACTTCTGAGATGTTTGCTAAATCTTTTATGCTTTTACTCTGTCAATACTCTATAAGATTAATGTGAAAAACGTCCAATTCATGTACGAATTTCTGAATATCTTCAAAGTCCTAATTCAGATGCTGAAAACTTTCACTCAAAAAGCGAATATTTTTCTCTGGAAGCCCAAGCGATTAGATTTAAATGGAAGCGACAAGAGATACAACATATATACTATTCTAGAAACGGTTGATGAATTTAAAGCCGTTGCATTGGGATCGTCGGCATTTCTACTCAGTTGGAAGAAACCACATCAACCAAATGGCAAAATACTTGGGTACAACATTTATTACAGCGAAGTTAATGGAACGGAGAGAAACCAACTGAAACCACAAATCAACAGTCCTTATGTTACTCAAACCATTTTGGGTGGATTGAAACCAGAAACTACTTATCGATTGTTCATTGCAGCCACAACGAATGCTGGCGAAATAAAGATGTAAGTGATCTTTTGACTAACGTGTTAAAAGTGTTAAGGTTTATTTGAATTTTTTTTTTTGGAATATTTTTAAATCCATTTTTAAACATTATTTCCATTCCGAAATGCAGAATTTCTGCACAATCTTTTCAATCAGAAACTTTTTCACATTTTCAGGCAAAGTATTGTGTTTAATACGAAACTTCCCGTCCAACCCGACGTACCTTCATTTACATGGACACTTCTGGATGTAAGTGATGGTGAAGCAACCATTAGAGTAAATTGGAAGCCAAAAATGAATGGCAACCCTGGAAGTTGTTTCTACGTCAGTTATCGCACAAAAGGACAAGACGAATGGATCAAAACTGGTCGAATAGTGGCTACAGATACCGTTGTAATAATATTATCACCAATTGTGAAACACGAAATGGTCATTGCATCGGTCGATGGCAAATATATGGCGAGAAGTGATATTCAACTAGTTTTAAGTGATGATATCGTTGGGAATTTGTATTTATATTGAGTGAATAGTGCTTGAAAATAGGTGGATTTGCTTTCAATAAAAAAAAAACAAAATATATGGAATTGAATTCTCAAGTTTATAAGAATTTTTTTTTTTAAGAAAAGTAAAAAAAGATACAAATCAGCATATTGAATCAAGAAAAGATTTATTCGAATATGCTAAAAAAAACATGATATTGAAAAAGGATTTCAAGGTCATCGGACATTTGTTGCTTTTACTTTCATTGCATTTTTTCATGAAAAATAATAATTCACAGTCCACATTCCGCGTGATAATGATTCATTCACACAAAAAGCGTATTTATCAATATTACACAAAAAAAAACCCATAAAGATAGACAATGATGCTGCTCGTCTTGAATGTCATCAAATAAAGCTCGTGAATGAGCGATTCAATTTCAACGAGATCATCAGAAACAGAAAAAAAGGCAACAAAACTGATTTTTCGGAATAAAGTCTAATGAACTGTTTTTTGCTTTCAACCAAACCATTCGCATGAATCTGATCGTGTGACTAAATCGGTATTTCATGTTCAAAATTCGTTTTTTCAACAAGCAAACCGTGCAATGAATCTGAGTATGCTAGCATTATCTATCAGATAAATGAGAATTAAATTTTTTACGGAAACACGAATTGAGATTGCAAATTGTTCGTACGATGTAAAATGTTGAACAAAAATTCTTATCACTCTACGTTTTGATGCTGTAACATGCAAAGGGATTGTTTGTATTTTTATTTTTGCAAACGTCATTATCATATTTCTTGTTTGCTCGAGTGATTTTCGAGTGAACAAAAACATAATCTTAGTGAGTGGGACTAAAGTTCAGCAAAACAGAATTCAGTTAGTTTTTTTTTTCGTCTTTAAACTGAAATTATAATCAAATATATTCATTCAATTCGGAGCGACGGATTGAGATAGTTCAATAAAATAATATCGATAGAACGTAGTACTGTTCAAATAAATTGAAATCAATTGAATTATATCCAGTGAAAATTAGGCCCCGCAATGGAGAAAAATTTGGTATACAAAACCAAGTGCCAACGCTGGTTAGGATCAATTTGAAAAAGTAAGCATTTGGAGTACAATTTCAATTCAATGGGTTAAATAATCCTTTAAACTGACGGACATCAATCATAAACAATTAAGAAGATCTTGAACATGTCCTCCACTCGGTTTAAATTCAATTATTATTATCTTATCCATTTTTCGGAAAGAAGTTTTTTATCAGTCACAATCGTGATCAAGTACAATGGTTGATTTATTATGTGTTCACCATAATTTTCAGAGCGTTTCCGTGGTGCCAGTTCAATCATATCCTCCACCTGTCAATGCAGAAAAACACGTTACAACCAAATCTTATTACGATTCAGCCCAAAACAGGTGTTGATCCAAGTGAGTGAATACTATACCTTTCCACATTATTGTTAAGTATTTTATTGAAATTTGAACTTTTATGGGTTTTTAATCGTTTTATTTTTATTTAAAAATTTCAATCGCGATTTTTTTATTCGTATTCCTAATGATTTCTGAGTAGATCGTTGGATGAATGTACCAATTTCGATCCCAAATTGTCCGCCCGGTTTGGAATACCTAGCATCAATTAATGAATTGTTGGTTAAACAAAAAGTCGAACTGTTCGAGACATTCACTGGATTCAAAATGAACAATAGATTGGTTATCAAAAATTCGCTGGATCAAAATTTAAGCGAACTTTATTCAGATTACGATTTGTTTGATTTATTTTTGCTTTTGAACAGTGTTAATATGATGATTGGTGATAATTTTTTGTTTATTTTTTCTTTGATGAACTAGGTTTACTTCGCTGCCGAAGACAATGATCGTTGTACTCGCAATTACTGCGGTCCAATACGTCCATTTGACATGAAAATTTTCGATGGCAACAAAAAGGAAGTTATGCGTTTTTATCGACCGTTGTCTTGTACGGGCTGTTGTTCGCCGTGTCGTTTGCAGTCATTGGTCGTAATCAGCACCCGTTGGTAATGCTATCGGGAGCATCGAAGAAGAATGGACGTTGTGCTATCCACATTTCTCAATCAAAAATGATGTCGGTGATATCGTTCTACGCATTGAAGGACCGATCTGGAAACTATCATGTGGTGGCAATGTTGAATTCAAGGTAAATTGACATTAATTTTCTCTCTTTTTTTCAACTTTTTTTGATTTGTTATCTTTTCTTTGCTTTTTTTCTGTTCAATAATAATAAACTGCAAACCTAAAAGATCGACTAAATTACAGATTCTTCCATTGGATGGCACTCAAGTCGGAAAGATATCGAAGCAATGGAGTGGTTTGGCAAAGGAAATGTTCACCAATGCTGATAATTTTGGCATTTCATTTCCATTGGATTTGAACGTTCGAATGAAAGCCGTTTTACTGGGTGCCTGCATTTTGATTGTAATTTACTCGTCCGGACATTTCTTTTTGAAGAAAATTTCAACACTAATATTATTGTTTTTCAGGATATGTTGTATTATGAAACCTGCAACTATTAAGTTGACGACTCGTGGCCGACGACGACAAATCACTGCTTCAAAAGTTTGACTTACTTGCTAAGGATTAAATGAATTATACTTTTCAATATCATAGCACTTATTGTGTGAACATGAATGAAATATTCATTCATTATTCTACTCGAATAAACAAACGTCAAAAAAGGCGAATAACACTTATAAGTGTAATAAATAATTATTTATTGAACATTGGATTCATATTTTTGGTGAATATTTTCGAAGTATTCATTTTCATTTGAACGCATGAGAATATTCTTGACCTGCGAAAAAAAGTTCGTTCCGAAATGCCTCATACATTCGTATAGCAACAAAAGAGACTCAAGAAATAAGTGAGCATAAAAGTGTCCAATGATTATGGGGCACTTTTATTCTCACTTTATTCATGGGACTCCTTTATGCAATACAAATGTATGAGGCGTTTTAGCTGTGCATTTTGACTTGAGGCTTTTTTATGATAATTTTGATAACAAGGAATGCGAATTTCGATTTGGCGATAGCACCAATGGATTGGGCACAATAAATACTGTATCAAAATCGAAAAAAAAAATTTAAACTTTTTTTCGATTTACGGCTGTATTGCGACCGTCGACATGGGAAGTTTGTATGAAAACCTCGGAACGCCGCTGGTATTGCATTGGCTTCTATGGCCAAATGTACACATGGAAATATCTCGAAAACGGCTGGGTTAATCGGCAAAACGGACCGCGATGTCACTCCCGAAGGGAGTGTAAACACCCGGCTGGTTTGACGGCCTAGAATACAAATCCACCTGCTCATGTGGTGGCGATGTTGAATTCAAGGTAAAACCACTCAAATTATCATAAAAAACGACGAAGAAAGGATTTGAAATGGGAAACTGATCCATTCAATTACAGATTCTGTCATTGGATGGCACTCAGGTCGGAAAGATATCAAAACAATGGAGTGGTTTGGCAAAGGAAGCGTTCACCGATGCTGATAATTTCGGCATTAGCTTCCCATTGGATTTGGATGTTCGCATGAAAGCCGTCATGCTGGGAGCCTGCATTTTGATTGTAATAATAATTTTATCCAATTATTTATTGATATTTTAACCATTTTTTTTAATGCTGAGATCTATTTTTAGGATATGATGTTTTATGAAACGACCAACAACAATAATACGACTGAATCTGGTGCCTCACTTTGCATAGCATGTTGTGAGATTGGTTGCGAAGTATGTTTCGAATAACAAATTTTATCTACATAAAGCGATAAGAAAAAGTGGAATATTTGATTTTCGTGTTACTTTTTTTTTAGTTAAAATAATAATAATTGATAAAGTAAAAACAACCAAAATATTTTTGCTAAATACAAAGACTGTTCGTAATGACTCATTTATTTGCAAAAAAAAAACAACGAACAGTTTTTGAGATCATTGATTACGTGAATATCAGAAGATCAAACTTGTTTCCATGAAGAAAATATATTTGTTAAATTTATTTTCGTTTAGTTTTGCTTACACGAAACGACATGAAGATAAAAATTCTTTAGACGATATCATACTGGTATGTATATGAATGCAATCGCAACATTCATATCACTCCGGAAGCGCTGCTTCCGAAGCAGTTCGGTAGTATGCTCACAGCACAATGAAATCCAACTAGTTAAAGGCAGATACCATATAATATATCGCCTCTCTTCCTGCGTAAATGTGAACTATGCAGTCGTTCTTACGCGTGTGCGACTATTTAATAAATAGTATTTATTCTCTTGATCATTGCAGATTAACTATTCGATTCGTCTAAAAATAAATGCAAGGTCAAATATCATAACACATGTAAGTATTAATTATTTTTTCAGATAAGTGCATTATTTGTTTCAATCGAAACGATTGAGGTGCAATAAAACTAATACAGTGTTCTGTAAATATTGTGTGCCTTTTTGTAATGTCATTGGGTCATAGGCAGCTTCAAAATGAATCATTCTTTTCTGTTTATACTGATAAAGGTTTTCAGCTGAAAACGATTGACGAAAGTACAAAATGTAGAGATATGCTTATCAAATGAATAGAGAGAGAGGCGTTGGCATCGTGAAACAACGTTAAATAACATTAAACTCAGTCGATGATTTCTCTGACTTGCGTGCAGTAGTATTCTTGGAAACACAAAAGTGGTGAAAAATATTCAATTTAACTAGAATTAAATTTGTGACATTGTTGCCATGGCGAACAATTATAATGTGAATTTTAGTACAAATACCGGCTATCCTCCATCCGGACAGGTATTTCTATATTCAATTTAATTTTTTTTTTATCAAACTAATTCAAAATAATTCAACTGCATATCCTCCTTCTGCGGCCCCATATCCACCGAATAACCAGTTCCAACCAATTGCTGCTCAACCTATGCCAATGCCAATTGCTGCTCAACCACAGCCCGGTCCAAATTCTGGTGCATAAATATTATTTTTGTCATTTTATTCCTTTATTTTTGATGATTTGCCGAAATTGAATCAGAACAAAATTATTTTTTTATTCGGTCCATTACATTGTTCATACCAATTTCATAGTATTTTAAGCAATGAGTAATCGTTCGTACGTTCCTTAAACTAAGGTACTTGGATGATTGCACCAACTGTAACACCAAACTGTCCGCCCGGTTTGGAATATCTAGCGTCAGTTGATCAATTGTTGGTTCATCAAAAAGTTGAATTGCTAGAAGTCATAACCGGTATTGAAACGAACAATCAGTACGAAATCAAAAATACGTTGGGTCAGAGGGTAAGACAGAAAGAAAAATTTCATTTTTATTTGACTAGATTTCATTTTGATATTTAATACTAGCAATAAATGAATAAAATCATAATTCAACGAATAATTCTGAATAATATTTCGATGATAACTCAATCGAACTAGGTTTACTTTGCTGCTGAAGACAATGATTGCTGTACTCTAAATTGTTGCGGACCATCTCGTCCATTTGATATGAAAATATTTGATGTCAACCAAAGAGAGGTTATGCGTTTTGATCGTCCGTTGGCTTGTTCGAGTTGTTGTTTTCCTTGTTGTCTGCAGTCGTTGGTCGTATCAGCACCGGTTGGTAATGTCATCGGTACTATCGAACAAGAGTGGTCGTTGTGCTTTCCTCAATATAAAGTCAAAAATAATGTTGGTGAAACGGTTCTTCGCATTGAAGGGCCCTGTTGTACTTTTTCATGTGGTGGCGATGTTGAATTCAAGGTAAAACCACTCAAACCATTATGAAAAACGACGAAGAGAAGATTGAAAACGGGAAACTGATCGTTTCAATTATAGATTCTCTCACTGAACGGCAACCAAGTGGGCAAAATTTCAAAGCAATGGAGCGGATTGGCAAAGGAAATGTTCACCGATGCTGATAATTTCGGTATTAGCTTCCCAATGGATTTGGATGTTTGCATGAAAGCCGTCATGCTGGGCGCCTGCATTTTGATTGTAATTTATTCCGAATGCTAAATTTTCAACCACTTTTCTGACATTAAATTCTTTTTTCAGGATATGATGTTCTTCGAAACGACCGACGATAATTAAACTTTTAGCAGTAGTTTACTTACAACAACGGCAGATGGAATGCGTCATCAAATTTCGTCGGCATAAAATGATAAGAAAAACTCCAAAATGTTGTTAATTGTGTTTTTTTGGTAGAGTTAAAGTAAATAAATGGAAGAAAAAAAATATTCCGAATTTCAAAGAATGCTTGTAATGATTTTTTTTTACTAATGATTGTACTATGTAAGTAGTATATCTACTTATGTACATTGTACAACCGAAATCACAATGTGTGTGTGGAATGCAAAAAATAAAGCGTCATCTGTGTCATGATGCTTTTGTTCGTATAAGTCCAAATGCATTCGATTTGAACGCTCAAAAAACGTTCAAACGTTCAAACCCATTAGCCTATTTAGTATTGCATAGTTCATCTTCCATGGGCTTAGTGGCGCCAATATTTTGATAAACATCAAAGTATAGGATTGTATACATTACACATTGTGAATCCGGTACAACTTTGAGAGCAACACGGGCCCGAATAAAATTTTAACAAAAAATATTATTTGAAAAATATGTTTTTAATACCATTTGAGTGGTTTGGAGCGAGAATGTTATACAGAAAAGTTGAGCGGAAAAATGTCGATGATGAATGAGCGGAAAAGGGATAGCTATATAGTAAACTATAGTGAACTATATAGCTATCTCTTTTCATTTGACATTTTTCCTCTCAACTTTTCTGTATAACATTCTCGCTCCAAACCACTCATTTGTGCTTTGTTAACCCATAGAAAATACTTCTCTAGATTATCCATATCTTCGCGTTTCAAGGGAGGGAACCCAAGAACGATGTATAGAACGATACATACAAGATTGCATTTTTGACTCACCAAAAACGCGACCTTGATATATACATAGCAAACACGCGAGCGGCACAGCAAAAATGTGCTCTTTCACTCAAATGTAAGTTCAATTTACATCTGTGTGTTGACTGGTGAGCCTTTACAGACTGTATTATGTATACATACAAAGGCTAAACGCTTGCTACGATCTGTCCATAGACTGGGCATTGACAGTGTTCACTGAACACATAAAGATGCAAGCAGAACGTATGTTTGAGTGATACAGCATATAAAGCAGCTGTAACGCTTCAGTAGTTGAATGAAAGCTTTAATGCTAGGCACCTGCATTTCAATTGTGAGTCAAGAATTTATCCGAAATGAGTAACTTGGAGGAAATGATTGAAAAAAATATATTTTCTTTATTTTTACCAAAAAAAAAAAAAACGAAATAACATTTTGAGGTCGCTGTATGGAATTCGCTATTGCGTTGCACAGGAAGCAAGTAGATTGCAGATATCTGCACACGCGTTACATACTTGCATACATAGAAGGCAAAGGAAGCAACACGTATCGCAATATGATTTAACCTTGTTTTCGGTCACATATATTCTACGATCTATTTGAGAAACGTACAAAGAATTACTCATTGATAGCAACAATAACAACGTATGAATTAATGAGAGTTTCAAAACTGATTCACCCTGAAAAAATCATTCAAATTGGAGGATTAAAAACCAGATTAACATTTACTTACCAGGATTTAGGTTAGGCTGAGGTTGTTTGGCAAATGTCATCGATTGCGGTTGAGTATCAATTGGTATTGATTGAGGATGTCTATTCGATTGAAAATAGGGATGAGGACCCGAAGGCGGTGAACATTGAGCTGAACAATTTTCAAGTGGTAACTCTGGTATATTCTAAAAATAGTCAAATGATATCTTGAATTGGTTGATTCAAAAAATTAATATAAAATTAAAAAAAAACAACTTGTCCAAGTGAAGCGTAGCCTTCAGATGGAAGATACTCAGTGGGTTGCGGCTGACTGGTGCCAAAACTTGGTTTCACATTCCAATTGTTTGCCATGGTAACGAATGTTACGAATTTATCACTTGAAGGTATAGCTGTGCCATATTCGTATCTTAATAACCATCCTAATAATATTGAGAGATTATTGAGATCCGATCATAATACCGATAAATCTTAATAACGCTATCAACTTTTTATCAGGATATTAACTATATTC